AGTTCGGAATCTCTGAAGAGACATCACAATTTCAATGGCTAACTGTTTTAGCATAAATCAATATCTCACGCTCTTCGTTGTTGCAAGTAATAGCCAACGTACGAGACCTCAATTCACTTAGTTTTGTTTCCCAATAACTTTCGTTAATGTTAAGAAGAGATTTATGCACTTATTTAAAAGAGATTCTTGAACTATCACATATGATGTAAAAAACTAACAACCAGATAAGTTATCATCGAAATCTTACTTTGCTGCCAAAATTTAATATCGAAAATCAGCTTCATGGGCACCAAAATAATTCATGAACCGAAAAGAATCATGGCTACATTAGATTTAGCAACAGTTCTAATTAAAATGAAGTAAAGATATCAATGGAAACCATGGCTAAATGTCTAGTTGTCGGTAATATTCATCAACAGAATTTTACTTTGCAGGATAAATTAATATTTCTTATTTATTAGTTCACATAAGATTGCCAAATAATTTACTTCGAATTCCTAATAAGAGTGTATGGAATCGAAATAAGCACAGACAATCTTGCTACTTAGCGACTTAAGTAGATTTCATAAATTCAATGGGATTTGCACATAGAAATACATTCCTACACTCCTTGTAAAAGCAAACATTAAGACTAGATATTGGTGATGAAACATACATTCTACAATAGCAGTACCAAGGTGGACGAGTTATGGACGAAAATAATTTTCTTTCTAAGTTCAAGTAATCATGTTTAAAAGCTAAATGCGGTTGTGTGGATTTTAACAAGTCTGGTCAGTATCTGAAGAAGGTGTAAGGTGCAACCTAGCCATTAGCAGTGTTTGAGTTTGTCTTCCTTAAGTTCCGCTTCCATAATTGTGAATATGTCTGTATCTTGGATATGTAGGATTTTTTAGATTTGGATCTTCATTTCCAGTGATTCTCTCCAGCATTTCACTGAAGGATCTGTAGAGAATTTGATTGGTCTGACGACAGCGGTTTCTCCTAGTGCTTGGTTTTAAACTAATCATAAGGATTTGAAGGCAAATACCCGATAATAGACTTTTTGCCGTATGAATAGGAGCTGTCCGGTGAATACCACGGGGATGTAGGTCAATCGTGCACCCCTATCAAAAATATAACACGTGAGTGCAAAATAAACAAAATTATGTTGCCGTAATTGGCAGCCAAATTTACAAATGACTGCAATCCAGAGAAAATATGAACAGAATAACGGTTTTCCAGAAAAAACCGCGTTTAGCCATTAAAACGTATTATTTGAACATCGATTAGAAATTGTTTTTTGTCCACAGTTCATTTAGGATGATGCGTACACTTTATAACGGAAAGCTCCGCACCAGTGTAGAGTCTTAATTATTTGCCATTGAAAGCAGTGAGGGCAAGATATTTTTGTCAAACCGTTTGAAAATTAATGAATTCTACTTAAGTAACTAGGCATCAATTTTTCTCACAACTGGTTTCACTTTCATGTACAGGGTTGCCTAATATATTATTTGAATAAATCTTGTTTAAACGACACTTTCTTAATTTTAATTATGTGCAATTTTCCTACACATCGAAAATCTGTCTTTCCTTTTAACTAAAACTTTGCCTCATTTTGTCAACAATAATTACTAAGCATTACTTTTGAAGAAAATTAAGCTCATTAATAAATGCAAATAGATAAAGATTCTAAATGTTCTTTAAAAAAACGATGGTTTTCCGCAATTGAAGGTGTGAAATTTTAGTTCCTGACCTCAAAATTGAAACATCCACAGATGTCTACGTACTCGTTTCCTGTTCACTTTGATCTTAGTTTCACAGTTCCGATAAACTTGTAATTCCCTAACATAAACAAATGTAGATGATATTATTTGTTCAATCAAAAATTCAACAAATGAATGACGATATTCTGTTATCCCATGCAGACAATGTGTGCATTTTGTAAAGCAGATGGAAAGTAAAGATAGAAACCGCTTCTTCAAGAATATCAGAAGAGGTACTTGATATAGTTAAAGGAATCTTGGAGAGTGTCGGGCAAAATGAAGTTGGCCAATGATCTCGGCAATTCCTCAACAAGACTCTACCTCGGAACCCCCCACCCCCCCTCACCCGTTCTTCACGCCGAAGTGGACAGCAAATGGTAGAATTCCCACATAATCGACTGGTCAATTCAAGGGTGCCTCAAATCTTACGAAGAACGTGAAGTGGGTGGTCAAAATTGCCTCCTACTTCTGTCAGTACGACGTAAGACAATGGTCTATAGATTTTGTAGCACTTAGAATATATTTAATATAGAAGACGAATGACCTAAACAAATACCCAAATGAAATACATTTGTCCTCACTTTAAACTATCGTGTAATTTCAAACAAGAAAGTTAGCACCAATGTTAGCATAATATCACACGATTTTTCCATCTTGAAATTTTTCTTAGGCAGCTGTTAAAACTTGTTCTCTTGAGGTCACTCAAGCAAGTACAAGATCGAACCCACGTTTTCCATTCATTATCCTTAATTTTGGTGACTGAACGCAAAACTTACAATCTCATTGCATCCACGAGAACTTGCTAAGATCGATAAAATCGTGTGCACTCAACTGGAGGACGTAGGAAAGATGCTATCTATTTCAAACACAAGAAGTGAACAATTGCCAGGGAATGGGGTGCTGTGGGATCTAAGTGCTGCATGTAGACACCTTAGCTCTAATGAAATTTTAAAAAAATACTTTTCCCACATATTTTGTGGATTGTCTTTCATATNTCTATTTGAAACTTAAAATTAATTCAGCTAAAAACACCTTTTCATGAGCCCGATTATAACTTATTTGAGCTTATCCTGATATTTTGCCCATTTTTGCTATGCATGAGGATAAAGTTTAGAACCTCAGATAGGCAGATTATATCTTTGGATAATGACATTCTATGTCGAATGAAGTTGCTTCAAAGACACTTTGAATGTAAATCGCGTGTTTGTTAATTGATGCCAAATCATTTTCTCATCCCTGTTATAGCTGTGCTAATTAGGAGGAGGAAAATGGGAATTAATGAAGTGCCGTCTTCCCAAGAGGCACGAAACTGAACGAACGGATTTACCTACGTCGGAATTGGCGTTGATAGCACTCGTGTATTGCACGTGTACGCGCCATGAGATGAGATCAACACCCGTAGCAATTATAGTAGCTACTTCTTCATAAAAGCGTTTTTGGGATAGCAGATTTGATTACTTGCCAAAGGGAAAATAGTAAATTACTTCGAGTCCCTTTGAGTCACTCTTCTTTATCCATTTCAATACCTCTCGAGATCTTATTTCCATTTTAGCGGAGACAACTTTGTCAATTTGCTGCTGACTCTAAAGCGGTGTGTGGACGGCCTTTGCAGGACAATTGAGTGGATTACAAGAGGGGCGCATCGTTACTACTTGGAAGACAACGCAAGGATCCAAGTTCTCTCCTTTCTTCTCGATAATGGAGCACTTCTCAATATTTTGGCTGGAGTCAACCCGACTGTTGAAGGCATTTGTAATCGTCTAAGAGCGTATAAGAAAAGGAAAGATTTCGTTCCAAGCCGTAGAAGCAGAAGTGGAATGCATAAATCTTGTTATGACATGTGGGGTGCGCGATAGACTTACCTCCTCGTGATGCACCCTGGGCAACGTATTTTTCTTTCGGCAAAAAAGTCTATCACTCGGCATTCGTTTTTGACTTCGATTAATTATGATTAGCTTTAAAAAAGGCTATAAGAAAAATCGCCCTTGTCAGGGCGAATCACAACGTCTATCAAAACCCAATCTTTTGCAAACAGGCCTTCCAAAGGGAGCTGTCACAAGGTGCACTCTATCCAATGTCTTCATCAATGACGTAGCCGAATTGGTACAGACAGTCACGGGCGTTAAGTGCTTGCTTTATGCAGATGATCTTGTTCTATGGTATTCCGCCCCTAAGAAAAACGCTAAGGAGAAGACAGAAAGTGCCCTAAATTGTTCACTTAAACTACTCGCAAACTAATGCGACAACAAGGGAATAGTAATTTACACTGCAAAAACTGCATTCCAAACATTTTCTTTGGCCCATCAGAGCATAAACCCACTTTAAAGGTACAAGGATAGTACCATAGAAAAAACCAATGAGTTCACATATCTCGGAATGACGTTTGACACTAAGCTAACGTGAAAAGTCACTTTGCTAAAATAGCAGAACGCGTCTCCAATAGACTGAATGCCCTGAAGCGTCTTGCTGGTAGCGTATGGGGCTGTGCGCACTCAACTCTCAACACCACTTACAAAATGTTTATTCAGCCAATAATGTTGTATTGCTGTGAGCCACTTTTTACAGCCACAGAGGTGACTCTCAAACCCCTCGAGAAGGCACACAATCAAGCATTACGACATTTTACTGGAGGGATAAAATTAACACCCATTGATGCAATGCTCCTAGTTACAGGAAGCACCACAATAGGTTCCTTTATCAAAGAAAAGGCCTTGATCCTTTATGAGAAGCTACTCCGCATTCCCATGGATAAGTTCTTCAGCACCTATGAGAAAAGACCAAGACATCTGAAAACGCATTCTGGTCTAATACAGAAAGCCATAGAACTTAAGAAAGCGTTACAAATCGATGATAAGCCAAAAAGCCTCTCTCTCCCCATGAACCCATTAGCAGACATTGATGTAGTGTGTCGCACCCAACTGCTCGACTTCTTCAGGAATTCAAACACTCCTCCCGAGCAAATGCGCTCACTGGCCCTTGAGACAATCAATGTCAACTATCCTGCAGATCAATGGCTCCAAGTCTTCACTGATGGGTCATACATAGAACTGAACTCTTCTCTTTCTACGCAGCAGCGGGACATAGTGGATCCGCTTTTGAAGGAGAAATAGAGGCTATTAGGATAGCACTATGCCAATTATGTTGCCTGGATACGAAATTCAACAAAGCGGTGAAACTTTCGGACTCACAGTCAGCAATAGACTCTATTGGAAACAGAGAGACACCCAAAAGAGCTGAGATAAAGGAATGTAGAAAACTCTATGAGCTGCTGAGAGAGAAAAACAAAACAGTGGTCCTACAATGGATTCCTGGTCACTGTGGCATTAGAGGCAATGAGATTGCTGACACATTTCCTAAGAAGGGGACAACGATTTTGCAACGCATGCACTGGTCGATGTCTTTCCACACAATGAAGGCATTAATCAGGAGAGAATTCCAGACCTCGAGGTTCAACGAACTCAAAGCTCGAACAAAGGAGAAACAGTGGACAGTGGCACTCTCCGACATACCCGACTGGCCAAGAATCGAAGCCGTTGCTGAGTTTAGACTACGTACCGGACACGATTGCTTGGCAAAACACCTTCACAGACTGGGAGTATACACTCAACCCACATGCCCTCTATGTAACCTACAGGAGGAAATGGAGAAGACCCACCTGATTCGGTGTCCAGCCCTAAAGACAACGACGGAAAGCCAGAGATACTGGGAAGCAAGAAGACTGCTAATGAAATGTTATTAATTAACTGCTATAAATGTACCCCCCCCCAATCTCTTTGGGGGAAACCGAAGTCAAAGAATAAAGGCCATTTGAAATTAATAAATAAATAAATGTTATGACAGGTAAATAGTTGCTCTGAGTTGATGTCTCA